CAGGGGAAGTCTTCCTTTACTCGATGGTGATGTTGATTTGCGTTGGCGAGCCTTCATTTTGGAGAAATTATTGAGAGAAGTCATTATTTACAAAAGCTGTTACGCCCTAATTCCAGCTCTATCTAGAAATAATACAGAGTACAGAGAGTATAGACTTAAAGTACAGAAAGTACAAAAGGAGAGGAGCCAGTGTCGCTACTTGATAGCAAACTACTCATGATAGGAGGAGTCTGTGTACTTTACCGGCGTGTTAAAAAAGAAAGGCAATCAAAATTTCATTTGTTACATGCATGAGACATGTAACAAAAAGTGTGTTGGTGAGTTCTGTGGCGTTAATGTTCCCGAAAAATTCAGAATTTTGCTGTAAGAAAATCCAATATAAACAATTTTATTGGCATATTTGGGTAAATTTTGACCTGTTTCATGCTACCAGAAGGTATGATGGTCACAAATGCCGTGCCAAACTGATTTCCTGCGCAAGTGATATGAATAAACGCGAATAAACACGAGGTCCAGTGATTATAGCAAAGCTTGCCATAGAGAAACCATCACAGTTCAGGGCCACCACAACTTTCTACAAAAGAGTTGAGTTATGAAATTCACTTAATTCCAAAATAATATCCGAAACAACAAACTAGAAAATCGAACAAAAATTTCGTAGCCCTACGTCAACAATGCGGTCGTGTCTTTTACACCACCCTCCAACTTTTTTTCTCCAGAGTAACTTTTGATAAAGGCGTATTAAAAAAGTGGATCATATATTTTTCAAAAAATCATAACATGAAAATGATTGATCTGAACAAAATGACATTTGAAGAAAAGTTATAGGTAATTAATTTTTTGTGAGAGAAAAAATACACTGAAAAAAAAACTGAGCAACTTCTAAACCATCTCCCCTTCGATTTTTATATTTTTGTAAAGAAAGATGAAGTATTGCCTTTAAATTTGGTGAAAGGTGTAATCTAGTAACCTGCTTCAAAAAAATTCTATTTTTTTTTTTTAATTTGTTGTTTATTTTCAAAGTTTAATGAAGTTGCACATATTATAGTAAAATAATAATTTATTTGGATTCTACGCATAATTTTTGATAAATGTGTACACATTTACATTTCTCCAAAGTCCAGTCTTTCTCAAGTTAATGCGATCTTAAAAAATAATACTGATGAATTTTCAACATTTTAGACCATTTCCAAATGTTATTCGCGGTATACAGCAACAAAATGTGTTTTCCATGATTGTATATTAAATAAAAAAACCCGTTTCTATCTAGGCGCAGCGTTAAAAAATCATAATTATTATTTTTAAATTCACATTAACTCGAGAACGGCTGGACTTAGGAAAAAAGTTTAAATGCAAATTTATCAAAAATTATGCGTAGAATCCAAATAAATTATTAATTTACCACGAAATAAGCATAATTATTAAATTGTGAAAATCAATATTAACAAAAAAAATTGCTAATGCCCTAATTACTTCACACACTTAGAAATAACTAATTTAATACGTGACGGAATTCATCTTTGACATAAAGGATGAGACGTAAACAAACATGTCATGTAAATTTAAGCACTTCAAGACTGAACAGATCGTTTCTCGACGAAAAGTACGTTTGATTGAGGTAATTTTCGCTTCTGCTATGACTCAATTTTATGTCAAAATTAACGCTCGTATATGTCAGTCTCAGAGCACCTAAATTTACATGATTTTTTCTATGTGTGCAGCTTTCTTTACAAAAACAAAAATAATAAAATCGTTTTAAGTTTTTTACTATGAGTTTACTTAGTTTTTTCTTTCATTGTATTTTTTTTTTCTCTATGAAAATTTAATTACCTACATCTCTACAACTTCTTCTCAGATGTCATTTTGATCAGATCAAACATTTTCGTGTTATGATTTTTTGAAAAAATGTAATCAATTATTTTGAATACGCCCTTTTTAAATGTTACTCTTGAGATAGTAAAATATATTTAGGAACAGCCCTCGAAACAGCCCTATTGTTGCGGTACGTTAGCAGCGTTAGAAGCCTATTGTTGTGTATGGAGGTCTCCATACACAACAATAGGGTTCTAACGCTGCTAACGTACCGCAACAATAGGGCTGTTTCCCCTAGATGAAAAATGCAACCATTGGTAGCAGCGAAGCGAACATGTGCACGGTAACCGCAAAATACCCAATAATAACTACAAAGTGAGCATCAGTTTTGTTTCGACCCCTTCCGATTTGAATGAAACAATGCATTGCTTACACGGTAACCGCAAAATACCCAATATATATATTTTTTTTAACTAGTTCGTTTATTTGGTTAGCTCAATCGTAAATACCCAATAATGACTACAAAGTAAGCATTTTTGAGGGAGACTGGGACTACCCATTAAATGAGTAAAAATATTACCCATTTATGAGTATTTGTTACTCAAAAATGAATACTTACTACTTGTTTTTGTAGTTGTATTGACTCATAAATGGGTAAAGTTTTACTAATGGGTAGTCCCAGTTTCCATCGAAAATGCTTACTTTGTAGTCATTATTTGGTATTTACGATTGAGCCTACCAAATAAACGAACTAGTTAAAAAAAAAAAACAAAGATTGGGTATTTTGTGGTTACCCTGTAAGCAATGCATTGTTTCATTCAAATCGGAAGGGGTCGAAACAAAACTGATGCTCACCACTTTAATTTTGAGCTAGGAGAAACAGTCCTATTGTTGCGGTACGTTTGTAGCTGTAGAAGCCTATTGCTGTGTATGGAGGTCTCCATACACAACAATAGGATCCTAACGCTTCTAACGTATCGCAGCAATTGGACTGTTTCCCCTACTTAAATAATAAACGTTTGATCAATTCTTATAGGAAATTTAACGCACTTTCCAAATCTGAAATAAAATTTAGGGGTTACTTTTCATTTTGTTCAGTACAATAACTGTAAAAACATAGTTGAAGATGCTAATTTCAAATAACAGACTGTAGTGGTGATTTTTATACGATAGATGGAGTAGATGAAAGCATAGAGTTGATAGTTCCGTTAGAGTACGGCAGTGTGAAGATTGCATATAGATATTAGAATAGCGAGCTAGGACAAATCGGTTTTTTCATCTCTCTTTACCAAACTCCCCCTTTGGAGAAGGATGGTGAGGGGTGTCCCCCCCCCCCCCCGCCACCACTGGCAAAAAGAGATGAAAACCGATCCGCTCAAGTACCAACTGTGTGTTTGAAACAGTTCTACCGATTTTTTACCGCACTTCAGTTGTTATTTGAAGGAAGGCATCCAGTCGTAGGTTGACTTGGTTGAGTCGTAGTTGTCGATGACTTTACGTAGAAGTAATACTAAAACATATTGGCAAATCAAAGTTGGCACTCGTGGAGAATAGATGAACTATGAAAGTGATGATGGTTTCAAAATTTTACACGGTGAGGTATACGAATTGAATCTTAAAATGCCTTTATTTTGCAAATGGAGCATTTTATTTAAATCTGGTTGATGCTACGTTAGTAGAAAACTTAAGGGCTACTCAATAGATATATAATATAAAAAAAATAATTTCTTTTCAGATTTTAAGGTGTATGCATAGATTTCAGCTTTTCTACAACTGTAGCAACAACCAGATTTAAATACAATGCTCCATTTTCAAAATAAAAGCATTTTAAGATTGCACTCGTATAGCTCTCCGTGGAAAATTTTTAAAACCATCATCACTTTCATAGTTCGTCTATTCTCCACGAGTGCCAACTTTGATTTGCCAATAGACATTTTTGACGTTTAATCGTCTTTCTCTATCTAGCACACATGGATGAATGAACGGTTTGTTTTCCCACTAATCTGTTTCCCTCTTGCTCGCACTCATTCGATTTCAATTGTGCAGTACTGTGCGCCGATTAAACGTCAAAAAGCTCTATAGTCAAAGTACATAACTCTGGATGGGAGCATACTATCAATTACTGTCAATGGTCGAAAGGTACAGTAGCAGCACCTACCCCACCCGTGTCCCCTCGAGATCGTCAAGTCGACGATGACAGGAGCACATATCGTGGTAGGGGAAAACAATAGTTGCAATTTCCAAACCTACGACTGGATGCCTTCCTTCAAATAACAACTGAAGTGCGGTAAAAAATCGGTAGAACTGTTTCAAACACACAGTTGGTACTTGAGCGGATCGGTTTTCATCTCTTTTTGCCAGTGGTGGCGGGGGGGGGGGGCACCCCTCACCATCCTTCTCCAAAGGGGGAGTTTGGTAAAGAGAGATGAAAAAACCGATTTGTACCTTCCATAAAAGTTGTCCTAGCTCGCTGTTCTAACATCTATATGCAATCTTCACACTGCCGTACTCTAACGGAACTATCAACTCTATGCTTTCATCTACTCCATCTATCGTATAAAAATCACCACTACAGTCTGTTATTTGAAATTAGCATCTTCAACTAAGTAAATCGTTGACTTCACTTAGAAGTAATACTAAAACATATAGTCAAAGTGTAAAAAACAGACAAAACCTTGTAACGTCACGTAGCATGTGTCATTCATATAGCACGGCTTTTCATATGTGTACAAATAAATTGCCCTAAAAGCACTCCATTTAAAATTTCTCTCACCCTAGTTTGATATCATAACTCAAACTCAATAGACAAGTGAAAAGAAAAGTATCAATTATCTCCATTTGAATTTTCGTTAATCACGCTACCCATTTAGCACTCACAGGCATTAATCAATCGCAAGCTCGTTAATTTTCACAACAACCACACCCGCCTCCTGGGGTGGAGCCATTTAACTTCACAGACCTCCTGTGTGGCAGTTTGATCCGAACAATCACATAACCCGAATAACAAAAGTCCGTCCAAAACACGGTTTACGTAATCCCCTCACCGAGCCAATTTCCCTCCGATCCCGCATGACGCTAGCAGCGGTCGTCACAGATTTGATTAACGGTTAACACTTACGAAATTTGCGTTTTTCCTTCTCTCTCTCTCAGTTTCTAATTCTACGGTATCTTGATTTTTCGAATTACAG